TCATCTAACAGTCACTTATGTCACATTTTACCTCAACAGCAGCTTCTGTTTCTTCTTAATTTTATGACTGAAGCCCGAAACATGCAAAGGACTGGTACACCAGCTGAACTCTAAGCCTCTGAGGAGTCCCACTTGTTCTTAAAAGTGATAACTCCACTGCATTAAATTAAGCACATGCTGACATTCCTTGCTGAACCAGGGCCCAGTCTCTACACTGAAAATAGTAAGGGATACATCTGCTCTGCACACCAGCAGGAGCTAGGGATGACAGATGGGCTCAAAGAAAGTCAAAACTGAGCCAAGTCTTCAGCCTAATACCAAACTCTGAAGTGCAGAAGTAATCAGTCACTCCCCCCAGATTTTGCATGCTTTGGGGCTTTCTGCTTCCGTGTGGGACCATAAGCAAAATGTCAGCAAGGTCACTTATTTTGGACCTACCCCTGCCTAGGTTTTCTAACTCAGAGGCAGAGAAAGACTCAAAATGTAACACAATCTCTGAGCCTCATTTGTCCTACAGAAATTAGTGGGAAACCTTATCCTGCCTGCCCACCACAGGCATGTTAGCCCCCCTGCCCCCAGAGAACCTTTGTGCATAACCTCTAACAAACTTTCAACTAACGTTCACTAGGGATCAGGGATGGTAAACTATGGTAAAGAGATTACAGTATCTTGACAATTTATTTAAAAGTAACTGTGTCTGATAACTAGTTATTGTCTGGCCATTCTGTGTACCCATCTGTAATTAGCACTGTCACCCTCACCTTCCTTCTGCTCCATTTCTGTGATACATACATGTTCCTCACTGTCTCAGAAGGCTGGCATTACTTTTTTTAACGTGCATGTCTGTGCACAATGTTGGCTCATGCCATAAAGGACATTTGTTTAGGACTACAATATGCTGGACTAAAAGAACAACGGTGACTTTTCCTTTGCTGTATCAGGAAGCCAAAGGAAAACCCAGCAGAAGAACTCCATTTCCCCTCGCTGCTCTGCAGCAAAGGGCTTTGAATGGTGGAGGCATCCCCTGCCACTAGTAGTCTAGCGGGAGTTGAGATCATTCTGGAGAGGTCACGATGTTGCTTCGAGGGGAGCAAGGAGGATCCCAGACCCTTCCACTCTAACTACCTATGCCCTCTCCCACTAAAGCATTCTTATATGAGGACAAAGAGTTTGGCCTTCTGTAAAAACCTCTTTCTACTTCACTAGGTCACATCCTTTTCTTTTCTAGCCAGCCAGTAATGTAACATTAACATAAAGATGGCAGTAAGAAAGGTCCCAACCACAGAACTTTAAAGTATTTGAAACCCAGAACTGAAGGTGATAAAGAAATCAGTTGTGATATTGATAGTACTCTTGTGTGTTATATTGCCTCACCATCCTTGATTTGATATCTTTGTCAACATAGGCAACAGTATTTGCTTTCATTAACAGCTTTCTAACTGTAATAGTCCATGGATGCAAATAAGGTCTAAACTCTGTAAGTTTGCACATAATTCAGTGAATTGTTAAATCAACATATTCTGCTAGCTAATGTGTAGGTCTCACCCACAGCCCTACTGCAAAACTCTCTGAAACCTATTATTGCAGATCACTGAACCTTCTTGTTCAAATAACAATTATTTTTGCTTAACAGTTTTTCTTTGAAGAATAATACAAATGGTTATTTACTTTCAGCTTCTCCATCGGCAGATTTACCTCCATTGGGCAAAGACAGCACTAGTTGACTTTCAGCTATTGCATCCATTGACCGCCCATTGTGGGTTCCTGGAGGTTCTCTTGCATGGTATGGCGGTGGTGGAGTTTCCACTATTAGAAAGAAGCAAAGAAAGAAAAGAAAGAAAAGACACCTAAGTCAACAGGTTAGTAAAGTCTCCCTGGCATTTACTGGTGAATACTTAAATTCTTCAGCACTGTTTAGCTAGAGAAGGACTGGAAACAGAGTATAAATCTGAACCTGACCTCCCTTCAGTCTCCAGATTACGATCATTACATGTTCAGGGAGGATGGGAAGGAAGTGCTGCCACACTGGACATGCTGCACTTGAAAGAGAGAGGGACAGTCACAACAATGCCTCAGGCCTAGACCACCGTCCAGACAAGCTCTCTGTTAACACCAGTTGTTACTCTAAGAAAGTAACACAGTTTGATCCTTTAATTCCAGACTTCTGTCACATATTTAAAACTTGAAGAAGATGATTTAAGAGAAGAAGCTAACTTTAACTGACGCTCTGGGAGAAAGCTCTTTTTCTTCACAGGCTATAAAAAAAGCCTATGGAAAGTCTTTACACTCTGAAATCAGACTTGGCAAAACTCCCTCCAGATTTGTCCTTTTTACCTCTGTCCTACAAGGAAAGGCTGGCCCTCTTCTGGTTTGTTCAGTCTCATATCAAAGATCAATGGATGTGAGGAAAAAATATGGAGAAAAAGTATCAGCTGACAACCTGCCTGGCTCCTGATTTGTTTCATTTATGGCACAGTAAGCTAAAAAACAGTAGGTGACTCTATAGTGAGGATTCTCAAGACAGACAGGAGGCTTTAGAAAGCCAAAGAAAAAGGGACTGCATTTTCATATTAGAAAATGTCGACATTCACTGCATAAGCACTAAAAGCATGCAGTTTTATCAATCTGAAGAAAACTCAGTGGGCTTATGTGTAAATTACAGCCATATAGAAGCTTTCAGGACTAAAGGTCTCTTTAAGACCACCAGGGTTTAACTTGGTTCCAGGTTGAAATTTTCTCTTGTGTTCGGAGTCTGTTGGCTGTCCCTCAAAACAGAGCAACTTTACTCAAGAGTGGATAAATGTGGACCGTCTCATAAAACAACCATTGAATCTTCCAAGGAAGTACTGCACAGGAATGTTATTCTATTGAAGCATTGTTCAGGATTCAGCAATTTCATACACCATATGATATTTCTAACATATAGATGACACAACCCTCCCACAAGCTCAAACAGTAAAACAAAATCAAAAAGGAGTGGAAGAGACTACAAGTCACAGAAAGGAGTATAATGTGGTTATGCAGGTATTTTTGATGTCTACACCTAAGCTAGTCACTATAAGCTCTCCTTATACCCACTAAAGAAAAATAGGCACCTGCAGACACGGTGCATCTCAGTTACTTTAGATATACACCTTGAGATGCAATGTATCTTGTTCTACGAGTGCCTGTTTTTCTCCACTGATTATAGAGAGTAGATATGATTGCATGAGATGTAGAAATTTGCATTGTTGACATCTCTATTTGGTCACACCAATCCCACTCGAGGTTCTTGATGCAACTCCAGTTGCTTTAGATAGTCTTCCATCCCTGATTGTTACACAGGCAAATTATGCTTATTAGCATGCCCTGTGCTGTGATACACTGAAGCTCAGGTTGAGCCACTTCCATTTTTAAGTAGCTTTGCAAGGTCCCAAGTTCAGTTAAATGCACAAGTCAGAGCCATTACATAGTTGGAATGGGCCTGATTTACCTGTCAAGACCAGCTCCACTGAATCAAGCTTGGCCACACAGAGGGGAAAGAAAAAGATGGGAGAGGACAAACAAGTCCTACTACTTGCTGAAATGTTGCGATGTTGCTAAATATGATTTAATCTGAAGTACAGGTCTAGAGAAGAAACAAACGAAGCTCCAGTCAATGAATGGAGAGGAAAGGAAAAACATCACACTGTATTGTAAGTGTGCAGCTTAAAAGGAGGTTCAAATACTACAAATACCTTGTGAAAATAAACACCATTCTTGCACTTAAGATCAAAGTAGGCATATCATTAAGGACACGAATTTAAATGTTTTGTAGTTGGGACATTAAAACATTAACTACAAGATTCTGACCTGAATTCATCTTTGTGAAAAAGCTGAGATCATTGAAACTATTTGAGAATTACAACAAAGTGCAGAAGTGAATCTCAACAATGTTTTGATATTCAAGGTAGCTCTCAGCTGTGTTGCATGATGCCTTCTTGGTGTATTTAACAGCAAAAGCATAGTTAAATTCTCAGGTAATTAGAACAGCAGTAAGTAAGGAGCTCACAACGCAAACAATCTGAGTGACATAACCCTGCCAACCTCAGAACTGTGGAGCTGATGAAACACATTCCAAAGTCATAGGAATTTGCCTGGTGGCTTCACCAAGTGTTGGGTCATATTGTTTAACACCTTAATTTCCTGAAGTTTATACAGTCAATGGGATCATTAAACATTAAAAAATATTTCTGTGTACCAATTTCCCCATTTTATCCTGTCTCTCTTGATGGAGTTCCTAAAGGTCCCTGCTCTGACCACTTCTATTAGAGGTGCATAACTTAAGTGTTGCAAGTACTTTTTGCCATGGATTGTATCAGAAAAGCTTGGATGGGCATCTTTAGGCAGAAGGTGGCCTGGCACACCTGCTCCTCTCCTCAACTTTCCCCTTACAGTAACCATGAAGTCTCACTCAGGCACTTCCAGGAGTGGGATGATTACAACTCTTAGTCCCTTGAGCATCCATCAGAAGGACTGGGAGACAACACTAAGAGACAAGAAATTGCGTTCCAGATCCATCCTGTCCAACACTTCAATCTGTAGCTACAGCCTGCGGGGAGCACACAGAATTGGCACCTGACCCCAGGCCCTGTCAAGAACCTATCTGAAAGCCGATTCTTACCCGTGAGCTGATAGGGACTTCCTGGTCCAGAAGAGCTTCCTGGTGAGTTGGGGTAGCTGATGCTGTTAGGCGACTGGGAGAACATGTGGCCGGGTGATGATGGAAAAGGGGTGCATGGAGGATGCTGGAAAGAATCAGGATAGGTGGCATTGTGCGGCATCAGCGGCTCGCTGTGCAGAGAAGTGTTTCGAAACTTGGCAAGGAGGCTGAGGTGAGGGTTAAACTCGCTATGTCGTGGAACGAGTACAGGAGGTAGGACTGAAAATAAAAACAAGAACAGAAAGAATCTGGTTGAGACTGCACTCTTGAAAGTATATCTTTTTGTAAGTTAAAAACACGCACATTCCATGCTGCCCAAATATTGATGTCTATATACAAGTCATTGAAAGGCAACAAACCTGTTCAAAAACAAGAATAAAAAGCTGATTCTTGGACTTTTTTTTTTTTCCAGATTTGCACCTAGTTGCAGCACTTCCATAGGCAAAATATGGACTCATTCCTGACTTGAGCCATAATACCATAATATTCACAGATACGGCAGGCATACACAGCCCTCTTACAGAAATGCAAGTGGCACGTTTCTCCCTCTCAAAATTATCTATTCCTTCCTTCCTGGAAGACTGAACATACCAGGAGTTTGCTAAATATTATCAACGGGATTTGCCAAAACCACAGCCAAGTCTAATAACAATTAATAATGCTCCACAATACACTGAATATTTTACTACCAGTGTTTTACAAATGGGCAAAAGGAAGCACAGACCTGAAGCTAGACATCAGATTTAAAAGGTTTTCAGGTACTTGAAAATGCTGCCAGCCAGACAGTGGGATCTTTAAAAGGAAATGTAAATGGCAATTCAAATATTGCAGCAACATTAATTTAGCTCTTACAATATAGTTAGAAAAGATCTAGCATGAGGAGGCAAATGTCAATGGTTGGTAGCTAAGACATGAAAAATGCAGGTCAGAAAACAAACTGAAATCGAAATTCACCCCTGTAAAAATTTTTCTAATAGAAGATATCACCTCTCTTCAGAAACTCGCTTCACTTACATCTCATACTGTTGGTGCTGTTAACAGCATTGCTGCATTGAGAAACTTAAAGTCGACCCAAATTATTTTGGATTCTGACACACTAGGAGTGAGAGCAGAATTGGAGTTAAAACACTTTAGAAAACCCAACTAGTGAGTTATCTATGAAGATGCAGCCCCTAGGCTGGAACACAAAGAGGCTTGCTAAATAGTTCTGCATACGGGAGTTCAACTTGAGGCTTTAACTGGGTCCTCCATAGTCCTTGGGGGAAGAACAGCACCTACAGTGGGCAATTCATATACCCCAAGATTTCCCTATTAGTTACTAGCTCACATAGTGCCTCATTATCTTAGCTAAGGCCTTAAACACAGGTAGGGAGAATGAGTCCCCAGTTGCTGTCTAAAAGCCATCAGAGAAGATAAAGAGGGAATTTGAGTTATTGTGACAAGGATGAATTGTCTCAACACTGGGAACAATTCAGCGGGCTTGTATTGATTGACCTAGGGTCCAGAGTTCCTCTGGCCTAAAACTCAGCAGCACGTAATCTTTCAGTCTATCCTTACTAGCTTATGGAAACAAATAGCATGTGTGCTCTTGGTTATAAATGCTGACAGGAATATATGGTTTGAACGTGTTTTAACATATTGTTTGGGCCCAAAAGCTCTGTTTAGGTAAGGACAATTCTTTTTAGGTAGGTTAGCTAACACATTTTAATTACAGCAAGCTCTCATTTATGCAGCATAATGAAAGAGTGGAATAATTGCTATAAAGCAAATAACATATAGATAATGCAAAACACGTGCATGAGAAGAGGCTGTAGGAACACCCCCCTTGGCATGCAGCCTCAGTGCATATCGATTGCTCAGATGGCTGGGGCGGTTTAAGCAGGAGGAGGAGGAGGACCAGTGCCTGGTACCAACGGCAGGTTTACAGCTTCTTGCTTGATGTAGCACTACACTGAAGCTGAGGCAGGGTTAAACCATGCTCCTGCCCTCCCACCGGCATACACAATTTGGGAATTTGCCAGTCACATGTGAACTGAAGAACTGAGCCCTAAAAACATACAACATTTTGGACTGATGACAGGGGATTCCCTGCAGAAGTTAACTTCTTATCTGCCTGGAAACACAGGCACTGGGATACCTGTTAAGAGACTATATGTAGACCCTTCTCTGGCCCTATGTATTTCTAATTAGCTTCTGGCCAGCACAAGGATGGTGCTCTGGAGACTACTTTCTTTCCTTCTGCCTCTGATATGCCCCTACAAGTGGGATGACGGTTGTCACCCTCTTAAGCCCTTTGGTAGAGACAAGTATTTCTGCTTCTTCAGCTCTCTGGATTTCCTAGATTCTCCAGGTCGGACTTATAGAGGCAGTACAGGTATTCACATCTGAGATGCATTGCCCAGTCCCTCAGAGATCTCTTCATAGCCAGTGGAGAGAAACAGACTCTTTCACTGCTCAGTTCATCTGCTCTGTATTGGGACAAGACCAGTATCACCACTGCAGATGTGGTTTCGGTGAGCTGGATCCCTCCCATCCCATGCTCCTGTGAGCAGCTCCAGGCTGTGAGCTGCTGCTGCTTCTGGAGTTTTCCTCTGCTGCTCCATGAAACTGGTATGATGCTTGCCAGGTCTGCTGCTGCTCAGCCAGCTCTGACCAGCAGCCTTAGGAAACAGGGAACTGGTGATCCCGTTGCACCCAGCAGAGATGCTGAGCAACAGACAGCAGTGCTACAGCTGTGCCATGCAGTGCTGGGAGACTGGCAACTCGCTGCAGGTACCACTGCTAAGGAAGAGGCTTTCTTCAACCCTGTGAGAACTCAATGAACTCCTCTAAATGAAAGCTGAGAATCTGGATATGTGAATAGCACTTGCCAGGGAAAGCCTTTGACTCGCCCTGAGTGAGTCAGCAAGAGGAATTTTCAAGCCTTGAACTCCTTCCCAGCTCTGACCAGGGTACTCTTAATTTCTGCTCTGCTGTACAGTTTTTGCCACCTCACTCAATATTTCCACTGACTGCTCTGTGGCTACCTAGATGGCTAAAGCCTCTGTGGTGACAAGGAATTCAGAGATCTTCTTGTTTGTGGCTAAAAATTCCCGAGGGCCTTGTTCTCCTTGTTCTTTTGGTAACAATGTCACTCTCCAGGGCTCAACCACTCTGAAGGAAGTGTGACCAGAGGCAAAAAACTGAGCGACTGAGTGCATTGGAACCTGTCTGTCCTCGTGATTTACCTGCATTGCCTCTACTCAGTGGGGTCCTTTTCCTCTACCTGCTGTTCTCCACCGAGAGCCAGGGCTGGATCCTTCTTTCTATGCATGCCCAAGTGTTGATGATCTTTGTTCAACTGAACACAGATTCAGTCATGTCCGAGTCCTGCCACTGCCATTCCTGCACTAGGCTTTCTCCTGTTCACTTCAGCTGCAACAGTTCTTGCTGGAAGTCCAGCTGTGCCCAGAGCCTGTGACTTCAGGTGATAGCAAGCAAACTATCTGCCTCACAGTTTAATTCCAGGTACAACATCCACACTGTGATTTCTCACACATCAGCCCATCTTTGTAGAGTTTACTGCCTTTGGAGACCTACCCTCTTGTGACATCCATCTGTTCCTTACGCTTACGACCATTCATAAACATCAAACACATGGCAAACAGCGAGATCATCAAGTGGTCTTCCAACCGGGAGGCTACCACATCTTAGTCCCACTTGGGCTTGACGAAAGCAATCAGTTAGTCTAAGTTCATTTAGGCTCCTGATGTCTACAGCAATGGGGCACATTAGAATTGGCAATATCTACACATGAATGATCTCATGTAAAAATAATAGGATATATGTTTAGGCAGTTTCTAAATTTTTCTGAAACTGCAGCTTCTCCTGACAACAAACCATTCAGACTTCTGACCAGCTCTTTGAGGCAAAACAATGAAGGGGGAAGCAGAGCCTAACCACCATCTCCTTTAGGCTAAGTGGCCTAGTCCCTCCCTGCAGTGGGATGTTGCACAAACAGAGGAAATATTTGCTGCTTTCTTCTAAATGGCACCTGCTCCTCAGCAGACCTGAGAAGAAATCTGCTGGAGACACTGGAAGCAGCAATAAAAGCTACGCATACTCTGCAGTATTGGTCAGCATAGACTAGAATGTGGCTGGGCAGCCTGAGGATATAGCAGAGAAAATGAAACCCCTGATTCTCAGACCAGAGCTTAAAACTGCTCTCTAGGAATAGAGGTCTAGGGATCTGCCAGGCCATTAAAGAAAGGGTGAGGCCCTCCCATCTTCAACACAACTCATTCATTCTGAATGAGTTAACGGATCAGGTCACAGGGTGGTTGACTCAGCATGAGAGACTTAAGTGATGGAAAGTGAGCCTTGAAACAATGGACATGAGTATGAAAATAATACTGGCTTGTGGATTATCAAAAATGCACTGCTGACTAGTTTCATGGGTGGAATCTTTAGCTCCAGAGGATGAGACTCAGAGAATCTCACATAAGCCTAAGATCACCAACAGCCAAGATGCAGAAGGTCTCCTGTAGTTAAAAAAGGACTGTTGTTTAAACAGACTGGCACCTAGATCAATAGCTCCCAGCCTTTTCTGTGGTGATCTCATTGCTGCCACTTCTTCCTCAAGCTTATTTCTTCTCTTGCCTCACCACCACCTCCTTGCAGTACTGCTTTCTAACTGCCTCTGGCCTGGAGCTGCGTTACCGCCACTGGCAGTGGTGTAAGTTATCTCTCCTGCCACTGCCCCAGAACATCTGAGTAGGTTGTAATCCTTGCTGCATCTCTCCTTTAGCAGGGAGGTGACTCATTTGGGAGCTTCAGCTCCTAAGCTGTCCCTGTAAGAATAGCGGTAGGGGTGAATACAACAGTCCAAGAACAATTCCCGTGTCCTGTGGAGAACTGGCACAGCACAGGTTGCATCCTCACCACTGCACTGTCTTTCTGCTCCAAAACAAGGTGGTCACGTCCAAAATGCCCAAGGTCCCTCCTGTGGGCTAACCCCTGCACCCTGAGAACTGCTAGTCCATGCGCATGGGTCAAAAGTGTGCCCTGGAGCACACTACCAATTCAGCGATACTCAGACCAGCACCTTGGCCCCATGTCATTTACTAGTAGAGATGTAGCCATCCTGCTGCACCGGCGAACGATAGAGACATTTTCACAGCTGAAACCTTCCGAGTTTCAGAGGCAGAACAAGCAGCTTTGGCAGCCATTTAGCAGCTGCTGCATTATCCCAGTACTAGAGTTTGTTAGCCCGCACTGAACAGACTCCATTAATTACACTGGAGTTACACCAGAAGAAATGAGAAGACACTAAAGACTGTAGCCTTCAAGGAGAAGGATACACAAAATGGGATGTTTTTATAAGCATCTTTTCTTAGATTCTTGAAGAGTTTATTTTAGCAAGGCAGGAGATCAGCTCTTTCCACTGAAAACTGTTGACAACAAGCACCACTCACTGCAGCTGTAAAATTTTAATTGTGACAATGTTTACAGCAGTTCAGCTACAACTTCAAAATGACAACTCTGCTGCAGTGGAAGGATTATCAGAAAAGGGAGCAGCCCCCGTTGTTTAACAAATGTTAACAAATGTCTTTCCCTTATTTCATCTGTGTGAAAAGAAACATCCCACAGTTCACTTATCCGATCCTAATGTCACCTCAGAGTAAAGTTCATGCCAGACAAAGAGTAATCACAGAATAATAAGTATACACTTACCAACCATATCCATTAGTAAATTAAATTACTGTGATTTTTGGCAGCAAGGGAGAGCTAGGTTAGACATTAGAAATCATTTTGAACTGTAAGGATAGCAAAGCGATAGATTCACTTGCCTGGGGAGGTTGTGGAGCCTCTACCACATGGGATTTTTAGAGCTCATTAGAAAAACATCTGTCAAGAATGTACCTGGTAATTTGTTTTGGTTTGGGAGTAGGGGCAGAGAAGAACAGGATGACTGCTCAAGATCTCTGCCAGCCTTGCTTTCTAAGATTCCTACATAAGTCAACACTAAACACTATAATTTTTTAACAGCTGTTCATTGACACAAAGCCCAATTAAAAGACCCTTCAGTGAGGTCCTAAGTTTTCAGTGCTGACCAAGTCCAGTCTAAAGAGGATCATCGGTAGAAAAATTCAAAGTTTTATGGGAACTCGGGGTATTTATTTCACATAAACTATCCATTTAGGTAAGTAAACCCCACTGAAGGCAGGCCACCAGGTATTTTATGAAGAATCAACTGACCTGTTTTCATATCTGCAGCAAAATAAGACATCTTACTGCAACCCTGACCTTTAAAGAGAGAGCTAGTGATTCTGTGGATTAACGAGTCAATTGTCGGTTTTCAGACAATGAGACATAAATCTAGCCCGGGCGGTAAGTCTAGGATGGTGCGTAGACTTTCTGCGAACAGACACCAGTCGGCAGGGGAAGGGTTCAGCGAGCAGCCAGCACCCACGTCCACGGCGAAGCAGCTCGCTTTCAGCACCCTGGACAAGATCCGGGCACCCTCGGGGGTCCGATGGGATGAGACCCCACAGGGTGAGGAGCTCCTCACTCCCTTCTTACTCCTGGCTGCCGGAGCTGTGATGCCACTGGGCAGGGAAAGACCCAGGGTCCTTCCATCAAATGAAGCCTGCCTTTTCAAATTTCAGACCACAACTCAGTAGGATGCACCAAGACTAGACCTGCCACTGCAAGAGCTAAGAGAGAGATGCGAGTCATTTGCAGATGATATAATTACCTGGGGTTTCCACCCGCCGGTAATGGTAGGGGTTAATGCACACTTCTTTCTGTTTTGAGCCAAATGGGAACTCACAACATTCCAGTGGTTTCAACTCATGGTGAGACTGTAAATCAGGCCAGCGCCACACTCTGCAGTATATGACGTGGGGAAGCCCCTTGCGGTGAGATACCTGCAGCCGCCCATCCAAGGAACGTGGGATCGTGACACATTTACTGGGCTGACCTGGGCAGCTCAGAGCTCTTTCCAGTTCCTCCATGGCACCTTTTTTCTTCTTTAACTTCTTCACCAAGGAATCAACAGCTTTTTCTGCCCACTTTTCCTCTTCATCTCCTTGTTTCCAGCCCAGCAGCCTTTTCACTGCAGGGCTGGTGAAGGAGAACAAGGAACTGATAGGGGTGCTGGAGTGCATAAGAAGCAGAGATTACAGACGAGCGTCAACGGAAGCACAAACTGCTCTCCCTCCTTGCAAGGCTTACACAGCGCTTCCACAATATTGAGATGGATGCTTCCTTCAAAGAAAGGTTCTTCCACACATATGTTCTTACAGTCTTAGGCAGTGGTTACATGTAATCCAATAGGGTGGGCCTCAGAACTTTCCAAACATGAAGAAGCCTGGAATAACAACACAATACACAGTTAGGCTTCACACATTCCTTTCATTGTTCCTTCAATAAAATCTTTTGAAAGAGAAATTATTCAAAACATGTATTTAAATGTCAATGTTTTTTGCCATTTATTTTGGGTCCAAGCCTCTCCTCTCCACACTCATCTTAGAGTTGGACCTTGGAAAGCATTAAGTGTCCAGTCACTTCAATTTGTGTTTAGAGTTTAATGCACTAGGCAAATTGTTGCAGGGTTGGGGTTATACTTACTACAAAAGAAAGTATACAGTTTTTTTAATGCTGGTAGCTGTAGGGTCAGCTTAAGCATCTTCTACAAAATGAAATCAAATTTTATGGAAGTGATGAGTAGAATATTTTTCTGATTTCAACTCCCTCTCTGCCCCTCCAATCTCACTCTGCTGTCGAGAGTTGTACAATATTAACTGCAAAATTAATTTAAAATGCAACTACTCCCACATTTCACTTAGTGCCTTTGAAAGATCACTATTCTCTAAGCTTATTTACATTTCCTCATGTGCAAGAGAAAACCTTTGCTTGCCTAGCCAGTCTGCTTTGCTGTCTAAAACAATTCACAGGTTTTTGGACGAAAATCACAAACTTTTGGACACGGTTTGTGCTGGATGGATCCTGAGTTATTTGTGCTAGGAGCTGCTACATCTGACAAAGCCCAACAGAAAGAGTTTAGTTCTTGAGGGTTTTCCTTTTTTTTTTTTTTTTTAAGGTAGCTGGAGCCAGTCTAATTTTAGCTGAAAATGACATATTTCCACTGACTGGAACTCTGAGGAAAAACATCCCTGTATGTCAAGCTATTTACTGCTTTAAATATACTTCGTGGACCCCTGTGCATACCAAGTCCAAAGGTCTAAACCATACAGACAGCACTTAAAGAAACAGGTGGGGGCAGCTTCTAAATCAATGCCTCCAGAGAAGCAGCTCCATGACTGCCCTACTCCACCCTTGTGGGAAGACTTGGGTCCTTCTTGCCCCCTACCAGTAAAGGCTTGGACATAGTCCTCAGCACTGCTTACATGCAGCCACTGAGGAGAGAGAGAGATATTGCCCGGTGTTGGGAGCAGCAGGGCTTCACAAACCATATTATTCTGCAGTTTCCGTAAATGCACAGAGTTCAAAGGGCACCTGGGATCAGCGAGTGCAGGAACACGTACAACATATTGAGAATGGGAGGCCAATCCCAAAGACTGGTCCCTCAGCATAGTCTGGTACCCTCAGCACCACACAGCTCTGGAGCATGCTGCAGGGCAACAACACAGGGCCCAGGGCATCCGAGCCTCTTAGACAATGTGAAATGTTGACCAATGACCACCTAGAGTTGTTTTCCGCCTAGCCCTTCTGTTTTGTTCTCATGCCCATTCCTCTGCACCACTGCATTACCCTTCAAGGTGCCCAGAACCCTGAGAAATGCAGATACATGTAACCATAAGCAGCTTTTTCCCTTCTTCCACAACAGCAGCAATGATGAGGCCAGGGGCTCAAATTCCCAAAAACCTTCCACAGAGCTAGGGAGATGGAAGCACTTGGCCCCAGAGAAGCATAAAAGCAACCCTTTGGCATGTCACAAGCCCCAGCAGCAGCTGCTGTTCCCCCAAGAGATTCATATTCCAAGCACCAGCGAACAGCAGCCTGCACAAAAATATGAACAGAGGGACTACAAAGCTGTAAGGAATAGCAGGCACACCTTGCTTGAGGCATCCACCACAGCACTGAGCTCTGACTTATGCAATTTCTACATTGCCAATTTATGAGCATGTCCAGTTGTCCTCAACCGTCAAGAGAGGCTCTTGACAGAGCACAGCAGAAATCCCCTCACTCACACCATTCAGCAATCAATGACCGATTCCACGGAACTGCCCAAAATTGTCACATCACGCAAAGAGAAACTTCAGATTCCAGATTTTTTTCCGTCCTCTGTAAGTAAAAATCCATGACCTGGAGCATTTAACTGGATAGTTACTAACGCCTCTTAGTCAAAACTGAAGTCTATTCCAAACACTTAGAGGGTACATGTGAGAATGAAATAAGTCCAGAATGATTTATCACAGGAAAAAACCCTCAAGCTGCTTGTAAAACATAACGTGGATAAAATTTAGACAGGCAGTCTCCAGGCTTTGCGGGAGCAAGCTCAGCCTACAGAGCCCAGTGCCAGCCCATCTAGGCATCCCGTGCAGTGGAGGTGTCTGTCCCTCACTGCCCTGATGAGAACCTGGGGAGGATTCACCACCACACTGCTGTTATTGCTTGGTGGCACCAAACCCCATCCTCACATGAGAAAATGAAACCATGCCAGGATCTCTACGGATCAGCCCTGAAAGCAGCAACAGGAAGCGAGGAGAGTGTGGGATGAAAGCCCACAGGACCAGTAGTGGTGTAAAAGTCTCTGCTCCAGGCTGAGAGGGAAAATGGCTCACACTTCTTATCTGAAGGGGTCTCTCAGGCATTAGCGTGTGTAAACAACTGCTCCTGATAAGTTAATGCAACATTACAATCATCAGATATGAAAACATACATGTTCACGTAAAAGTATTGTCCCGAGATTTTCCTTTCCATTTTGACCAAGGTTTTAAATAAACACATTAATCTCGTTCAGTCAAATTAAATAACTCAACAGTGACATCAGTATGAGTCTGAGCACTATTGTTGCTAGTGGGAGAGTCGCCAAGACTATGTGTATAAAAGCAAAAGCCGTGCTTTGCAGACCATGTGATGTAGTCTCAGATAAGTACATTGCACAATTTCCTACGGCGCTCCCCTCCATTTCTTCTAAAATCTTTTTTTTTTCCCAAATTCAACTGACAAACAAATATAAATGGTATTAAACAAACTAAACAGCTTTCAAATATTATTATTATCAGAACACCCTAGTTTAATGTTATTAAATTACATAATACTGCGTACTATTCAGCAGACTTAAGCCCTGTGTTGCTAGGGTTAGAGTCTCCATTATGAAATACCTAGGCAGCCACTCTGCTCCAGGGCTACAATGATAGAGATGTCAATTCACAATTTAATTTTAACAGTCTTTCAGGACAGCAGTTGCTTAAGCTGTGTGTCTTTTGTAACAAGCCACTTTCCTACCCAACTGGAAACTTCCAACATTGAAACATTTCAAAACCGTGTTTGTCGCATTTTCCGTGCTGATGATCCACCATGTTTCTCGATGCTCATCGCTTTACAGTGGTAACGGGGAGGGAAGTGTTACAGTTTTCATCCATATCCCCACCACACATACGCAGCCCTGGGCCTTACCACGATGGAAGTTCTGGTCTGGTCACCTCTATCTCCCCCAATGACAGTATGATGTGCTATCATCATGAGCATGAGTCAGGCATCATTCAGGTCCCTCCTCTGGGACTACAAGGAAGGCTTTGTCTATCTGTCAGGTAAGTGACCAGTCAATACCAAACACGGTCTATCTTCCATGCTGGAAATCTTTATTTCATCACCAAGTTTAGCCTGAGGTCTAAAGATTGCTTTAGGGAAGAGGCAGAAAATATATGGCACGTAAGCATGGACCCACCCTTTCATTTCTGCGGTCTGCAGGAGAAGGTGGGACCAGAAATGCTTCTGCCCAGTTCCTGTCTCCATTCTCCCTAAACATGAGGTGCCTACCTTAGCTATGGCTACACTAGTGCTGAGGAACAGTTCCGGGCACGGGAAATTGATTAGCTATAGCATAAATTATTACCACAGTATCTGGAATGGCTTTAGTCTGTGCACTCTCCCAAATAGCTCTTGTGTGTAGTTCAAGAGTTTGCAGGGACCAGAGGTCAATCCTAATAAGTCTAAATAGATTCACCCTGTTTTGGAGGGTGAGACAGCCAGTGCATGGAAGTAAGCTTCTCCATCCCAGTTGGCCTCAAGGCCAAGAACAGTACTAGGCATGTTTAATTTATTAGCATGGAAGCAGCTTTTCAGTAGAATTTACTTGGCCACATAAACATGTCCAAATTGTTGACACTCATATTTGACCTACTCACCCTCAAGCCCCTAAGTACCTACTTAAGAAAAACATGCATGCACACGGCATGGACCATTCCACCTAAAAGTAAACATCTAGAAAAAAATTAGCAAAATCAGGCACTGCATATAGCTAATGCTGGGTGAGATCAGTCTCACCTCAAGTCTGAATGACTGCTAGGCTAAGACACAGCAACATGAATACAAAGTGGAAGGGATTAGGACACTTTCTCCTACTCCTAAGCCCATTTTTCACCCTCCAGTGTAGAATTAGCCTGTAGGTCATCAGGTCATTAGAAACGTGTTCCTCCAGGAGCTTCACTGCAGTAACTTCCACTGTGCTACTAAAGAGGCTGACACACCAAGGGCAGAGAAAAGCAGATGTCATTGTGGGCTTACTGTTTCCTAACCAGAGCCAG